TTTGGGATTACAACTTGAGTACATCAAAGGAGGAATCCTTGTGCATCAATCGGCTTATATCGAAAAGGTACTCAAGCGATTTAATATGGACCAAGCTCACCCATTGACCAGCCCAATGGTAGTTAGAAGCTTAAGTGATGACCCTCTTGGTCCCAAAAAGGATGATGAAGAAATCCTTGGTCCTGAAAAGCCATACCTCAGTGCTGTAGGAGCGTTAATGTACCTGGCTAGTCACACTAGACCAGACATATGTTTCGCCGTGAACCTCCTCGCTCGATATAGTTCATCTCCAACTCAGAGACACTGGAACGGTATAAAACATCTCCTAAGATACCTTCGAGGTACTCAAGACTTAGGACTCTTCTATACTAACCAAAATAAAGATGGGTTAGTCGGCTTCGCCGATGCAGGATATCTATCAGATCCGCACACTGCCAAGTCTCAAACTGGCTACGTTTTTACGCATGGAGGAACAGCCATCTCTTGGAGATCAATGAAGCAGACACTCACTGCCACTTCATCAAACCATGCTGAAATCCTAGCCATTCATGAGGCTAGTAGGGAATGCGTCTGGCTGCGCTCCATGACTCAGCACATCCGCAGAGATTGTGGTATGGACGAAGACACACAGCCCACGGTGATGTATGAAGACAACGCGGCATGCATAGCTCAGCTCAAGGAAGGATATATCAAAGGAGATCGGACGAAGCACATTCTACCGAAGTTCTTCTCAACCTCAGACTGGCAGAAGGACGGCACTCTCAGCGTTCAGCAGGTCCGATCCAGTGAGAATTCAGCTGACCTCTTCACCAAATCATTGCCTACTTCAACACACCGGAAGCTCGTCAAACAGATAGGAATGTATAGACTTAGAGATCTGCAGTGATGCTACAATCAGGGGGAGTAATGCGTGTTGTATTCTTTTTCCTTCACCATGGTTTTGTCCCACTGGGTTTTTCCTGGTAAGGTTTTAATGAGGCAACATTCCCCAGCGCATTATCGAGATCCCGATTGAGTAGCTGACCCGGTTCACTCGTCCAAGGGGGAGTGTTATAACACATATCATATATGGACTCTTATACCGGCCCATTAGACCCATCAGGGCATTGTACTTAACCTAGATTCCCTATGTACTCTATATATACATTCCAGTGATTAATAAAGTTTCTAAGTTTTCACAACATTAACCAATATACAATTGTGCTAATTCTTGAAGACACCAACTAATTTGGCTATATAAATTTCTGTAAAAAGGGAAGAAAATCGAATCCTAATTTTTTTTATCATCCAAAAAATAGATTGATCACGATTCAGCCTCTAATAATAGAGATAATTGACAATCCCCATTTAATATAATTCATTTTTTAGAAAATCAGTTTTTGTTTCGTTTTGTTTTGAGTCATTTGACTTTTGACTTTTCTAGACTTCTTAATTTGTTAAAAAAAATAACCCATGTAATCTCTTCAATTTTCTCTTTAAACAATCACGTCGTCAGTAACGCCGAAAGAATATTCCGTTACTAAGATGACGGATTCCATCGTTTCCCGCCAAGTAAATAGCCCTAAGCGACGTAACGACAGTAACGGCGAATTCAAACGTCTCTTGCTTCCAGAAACCTCTCAACCAGACACTAACGAGCGCCGCGAATCGCCGGCGGATCCACCGGAGGATCAGGTCCTGACCGTAGAAGAAGACGGAGAAAACACCTTAGATTCGGTTCCTCCGTTCTCGTGGGCGACGCTATGGAAATTCACCGGACCTGGGTTTCTCATGAGCATAGCGTTTCTAGATCCAGGAAACATCGAAGGCGATTTACAAGCCGGAGCCGTGGCTGGTTACTCGCTCCTATGGCTTCTTCTATGGGCGACGCTAATGGGGCTTCTGATTCAGCTTCTCTCGGCTCGGATTGGTGTCGCGACGGGTCGGCATCTGGCGGAGATCTGCCGGAGCGAGTATCCGT